CAACATCCTCTCTAAGGTTAGATGTGGCCATGTGAGTGGAAGTGACATATGTCCAGGTGGAAGGTTTAAGAGCCAGCATGGTTTACAAGGAGCTCTGGTGGTGCAGTGCTTAAGGCATTTGACTGTTAACCAGAAAGTTGGCGGTCCAAACCCACCAGCCACTCTACAGAAGGAAGATGGGACTTCCATAAAGATTTACTGCCTTGGAAATCCAATGGGGGTGGCTATGAGTCACAATTGACTCAATGACAGTGGGTTTGGTTTTGGGTAATTTACCATACTCCCTCCTCCCATCCAATGTGAGACCACACGTTTGTACAAATACCCAGCAGGTAATCATTTTTTTAGCAAGAAGCCATTAGTGCAAGGAACTCCAGCACGTTCCCCACGCCTCAGGGCTTTACCGCACAGAACCCTAAACCCCCCCTCCCCTCCTTTACTTCCCCGAGCAACAACCAATCAGTGAATAATAGAGAAGAACCTGAAGTCCTGATTACCCTCACTCCCTAGATACCCCCTAGCAACAACCAATCCTGTAATTTTCTGATTGAAACTTCCCTGTCCCTGCTCCATCCCCAATAAAAGACCCTCTTCCCCTTTGTTCGGGGTTCTCAACTCTAAACTGCTGGGTCGGTGACGGTTGGGGATCCAAGCTCAAGCTTGAATAAACAACCCCTATGCTTTTGCAGTGGAATCAACTCCTTGGTGGTTTTTGGGGATTCGAGAACTGGGCATAACACCACAAAGATTGGGGAAGGATTCACTGAAATAAGAACTGCCATGAGCCAGAAGAGAGCCTTGAACAGAGCCCTCCCGCTGACCTATGTTGGACATGTATGTAGCACAAACAAGAATAAATTTGGATTTGTTTTAAGCACAGCAGGGGTGGGGTGAGAAACACATACCTACAAAAATGTTGTAAAGATGAGAGAACCTTGAAACACTCTTATACAAAATCTTAACAGCTTGCCATAGGGGGAAAAAAAAAAAAGTCAGTACAAAACTGCTAAACAAATTTGTGATCGAGAAGGATTTTCATACAGCATTGTCTTGAAGAATAACAAAAATAATTACTGATTGGGAGCACTGCTGGCATAGTGCTTAAAGCATTTGACTGCTAACCAGACAGCTGGCAGTTCAAACCCACCAGCCACTCCTCGGAAGGAAGGTTCAACAAGCTTCACAAACCCAAAGAGGGGTCTCCATGAGTCCCTAGATGGTGGTTAGTTAATTACTGATTTACTCTAAACACAACTCTCAGTCTGACCTTTGCAGTGACTACAAAACTGAATTCTATAAAAGAGCACAATCCCCAAGGCTAAAGGGTTTTACAAGTTTATCTAGACCATTGTTTTGACTCAAAGGAATTCCTTCTCCCAGGCTCAAGGTTCCAAAGGACATCCAAAAGCAAATGGCTTGGGTGCTCACCCCAACTCCATGGACCCAGAAATCTGGATTAAGACGGTTTGTCAAGGGCCACTACTTGGCTGAACTTTTCATTAATATCACCTGAATGATAAGGTCTTAAACTTGTTTTAACTTTCTCATTTGTGCACTCTTCTCAAACTTGAAGTAAGCTTTTTAAGCTAGCATAAATTTCAGGTTGCACCCAGTTTTTAAAATTTTTGACCTCTTTTCTTACTGTACTCTGCTGGGGGTGATGGGAAAAGTAGTCCCTTAAGTATTCCTAAAGTTCTGGGCAAACAACTCAAAAAACGTGAGACAATAAGGGGAAGAAAATAGGGTCAGAGAATTCACCTCTTCGTGTGTTACAAACCACTGGCCAAATCTTTGAGAAATGGATGTCCCCTTCCTTCTTCTAAATCTCTCTTAGTCTGGAAGCTCCAATAAAACCCGTCCATCACGGGTGACTGCTGGTATTTGAAACACCAGTGACATAGCCTCTGGCCTCACAATAACAAGCAAGCCACCACAGTATAATAAACTGACAGATGAGTGGTGGCTACCAACCACACAAGTATGTTAATAGTCCAACTACCACAGGTCAACTAGATAAGATTGGAATTAAGCTCCCTTTAACCTTAGGCTGTAATTTAGTTACTTCTCCACTGAAACAAAGGAAAAGCTGCACCTGGGGCCAAACTGTACCCTTATATGGTAGGGGAAGTTACTCGAGGCTTCTAGCCCTTTCCTATCCTCTAGGGTCTTGCCCTAGGCTCAGGAAGGCAGGGTGGAATGGGGGATGTAGACACCTCACTCCCTGGCAAGAATCTGTTGTCTCCACGGGAGTCCTCGGTCCCAAGAGGCAATTTTACCATAGGCAGCGAGAGGCACAGATACCACAAAGAATAGTGAGCGCGCGCAATACTGTGCCTGCGAAGAACAGGGTCGCGCGGCAGACGGTGTACCGCGTATGCGGCTCTCTCCTAGGAGGCGCCCTTAGTTCCAGAGGGCAGAGGAGAGGCGACCAAATTCTCCGGCTCCGCCCCTAGCGCGGCTCACCCGGAGGGCGTTGCCATGGAAACACAGCGGCCACAGCAGGCCTGTGATGGCGTCGCCAGCCAAGTCGCCTCTGCCGACCTCGCGGCGGCTATAGTGGGAGCCCATGGAGCCAAAAAGCGCCGTCGAAACGACCAAGACTCGCTTGGGCCTGGGCCATTGCAGGCATTTCTTTTGGCTAGGGGTCGTCTTCGATGCAGTGGGCGTGGTGATGCTGTTCACCGGGGTCTTCGCTCACCTGCTCTTCAACGACCTCCTGCTCTACCTGGGTTCAATCATCATCTTCTTCAGCCTCCTCTGGTGGATCTTCTGGTACACGGGCAACATCGAGATGCCCCCTGAAGAGGGCCTGATCTTCAGCCAGCCGTTCCACCAGCACTCCTCTGTCATGAAAGCCTTCCGCCAGAGCGTTGGACACCGCTTATCCCTCACCATCAATGACGTGTCTGGTACTTTTTTGCGGATCAGGCGGCAGCGGCGCAGGAGGATCATTCAAAGGGCTGCTTGTCTGTGTATGACTGTCACGGGCCAGCTAGGAAAGGAGGACGAGAATAAAGACATGAAAAGTGTCACCGAGAGCATGGACCCTCAAGTCTCTCGGAGCGAGCAGCCGAGCCCCATATCTGAAGGTGTCAAAAATTCAGAGACAGCACATTCCCCAGACCCTTCTGCTGGTCTTCCGTTGTTTGTTGAAGGATCATCGACCCGCCTGGTACTGCCTGTGTTCAATCCAACCTCGCTGGACCAGTCTTCAAGGACCTTGGCCTCTCCAACAAAGTTTTTGGCCTGCCAAACCCCTCAAGGTCTGCCTCCCACCATCCTTGCCTCTCAGAGCCTGTCTGTCTTCCCCCGAGCCTCTACTGGTCAGCCTCTGGCCATTCCTACTCCTAGGAACCAGCCAGTAGTTTCTTTGGCCGCCACAAGCCAGCCTCCAGTTACCCTGGCCTTGAAGATCCAGCCTGTTGTCCCTTTGGCTTCTACAACTCAGCCTCCAGGCATACTTGCTTCGAAAAACCTGCCTGCTGTCTCCTTGTCTTCTATGGGCCAGCCTATGGTTATCCTTACCTCTGAGAGGCAACCTGCAGTTGCTGTGGCCTCCGAGAGCCACCCTCTGGCCTCTCAGGCCCCTCCAGCCTCACAGAATCAGCTACAGAATCTTTCTCAGGCCTCTCAGACTCAGCCTCAACCGGATCAGGGTTCTCAAACTTAGTCTCTGGCCCCTCAGGTCTCTCTGATCCAGCTTCTGCCTGCCCAGTCTTTTTCAGGACCTATTTGTCAATCCCAGGACTCTAAGACCCTACCTCTAATCCAACAGGCCATCCAGACCAGGTCTGTATTCTAAGAGATCTCTCGAAGTAGTGTTCAAATGTCCGTTGCCAAGAGATCTTTCAAAGTCAGCATTCAAGTGGCCAGTGCAAAGAGATCTCTTAAAGTCAGCCTTCAAATGTCCAGCAGTGTCATACTGAGCCAGCGGCTCAAGCTTCCAAGACTGCCACCACTCCACCAGGAACTCCTCAGAAACTACCTGAGACCTCATGTCTGGTCCTTGAGATGGCAGCTCCAACTGCTTACAGCCCAGTAGTCAGTAGTACCTACTGTGAGTGCACCAGCCTCTGCTGCGAAGAAGAAAAGTAGCTCCTTCTAGGCCTTAGTCATGCCATAGCCGTGTGAGTTGCACCTCAGTCCTCTGCCAAGTAAGTGTCTTTGGAGGAATGTGAAAGTACATCATTTCTTCATTGCTTCAAGGGTCTGTGTTCTAGTGGTTTCCTCAACTCCTGTTATAAATAAATAAAGTTAGCGGAATCTCCCTCAGGATTAGGTATTCTGAACTTTGATAGATTCTTTTTAAACATTGGTATTCTGAGTGGATGAGTGTTGTTAAGGTTTTATATATCAAATCATGAAATCAGTGTCTTTTATTTAGGCCTAGCAGAAAGGTGATAGTGGTAAATTAAATTCCTTTGTGAGCTATCAGGTCTAAAGATGAGAGAGGGGTTTTGGCTTTAGGTGATACAGGGACAGAGTGCTCAATTGTTGTGTGCCATCGAGTCAATTCTGACTCAAAGCAACACTATCTATAGTAGAAGCAGAACTCCTACACAGGATTTCCAAGGCTATAAATCTTTAGGGAAGCAGACTACCATAGTTTTCTCCTGTGGAGCCACTGGTGGGTTTGAACTGCCAACATTTCAGTTAGCAGCTGAGCACTTAACCAGCGTGCCACCAGGGCTCCTTGTAGTGCTAAGTAGTAAATTCAAATTGAGTCATAGAGTGGGATCCTTAGTCCCTTTTCTATTCTTTTCAATTTTTTATTAGATCAAGGAGAATGTCTTTCATTTGGGGTTAATGATTTTTAATACTCTCTAATGGTTCAATAGGCAACAACTGCCTCCAGCTAGAATATATTTCTTTTCACAAAGTTATTTCAATGGATAACTTTGACTGCTTTTCTATTGACAATAGTGATGTTTTTGAAATACATTTATTTAAGTAAAAAAAAATTTTACATGAGTCAATTTAAAGATAGTTAGTTTTACGGTGATCCTTGAATGGTCCTGGAGTGTGAGAAACATTTGACTATTTGTACTAAATCACATGAGCCTTCTACTGAATCCCAAGCTTCTGTGTGCTAGCCTGTTTAATGAACTTATGGGTAAGGCTATGGAGGACAAATTCCACTTAACTCTCTAACTGCTTGTCAACTAAAAAGGTAGGAAAAATCATGTGGTGGTCGTAATTGGTAACCCTGCTTCTCCATGGCAGAAGTAAGTGCTGTCAATAATGGTATATACATTGCTAAGTATTGATTTCCTGGTCTTTCTCTCTAGTCCTGTTATACAAGTTACCTGTTCTGTGATGTGGAGAAGGATAAGCTATGGGGCAGAGCAATACTTTGGCATAATGTTATATCTCTTGTGGTTTAAACTGTACCAGCATAATATCCAAGAAGATATTCATCCTTGTTTTATATTGGTTAGTTTTATTTTCAGCAGGGGATACAGTTGAATGTTAGGTAGAAGTCAAACTACTTTCTTTCTGGTTTCTCTAATTACCCTTTCCAAACCAAAACCACTGCCATTGAGTCAGTTCCAACTCATGGTGACCCCCATTGGGTTTCCAAAGCTGTGAATCTTTAAGGAAGTAGATTGCCTCATCTTCCTTCTGTGGAGCAACTGGTGAGTTTGAACTGTCAACCTCATGGTTAGCAGTGAAATGCCTTACCCACTACACCACCAGAGCTCTTAATTTTCCTTTAAGGGAATGCATCTAGAGACATTATTTCTCTAGATATATATTGCTGTGTGCTGTCAAGCCTATTCTGAGTCATAGTGCTCCTACAGGACAGATAGGGAGCTCTGGTAACGTAGTGCCTAAGGCACTTGACTGCTAACCAGAAGGCTGGAGGTTCAAACCCACCAGCCACTCCTTGGAAGGAAGATGGGGCAATCTACTTCCGTAATGATACTGCCTCAGAAAGCCAAGGAGGGGTCGCTATGAGTCGGGTCCGACTTGACGGCAAATAACAACAACATAGGACAAATAGGGTCTCCTAGGTTGAAATCTTTATAGGAGCAGATTGCCAGGTCTTTTTCTCCCTGAGAGGCTCTAGTGGGCACAGACTACCAAACATTTGGTTAGCAGCTGAGCACTTAACCATTAAGCCACCAGGGCTGTAGGGGTGTGTGTGTGTGTGTGTGTGTGTGTTTATTATATAGGAGCAAAACATTTTGATTTCTTATGGTTTTTATAATTTGGACACTTGAATTCTAAAATGAAATATATTCAGTGAGGAGAAGTTATTTTGTTATTTATGTCTTTTGAAAAGTAAGGAGCAAAACACCAACAAACTGTAAGTCCAGAAGGGAAGAACTTAGTATTACTATGTTGTTGTTGCTGTTATGTGCCATCGAGCCAGACCCAACTCATAGTGACCCCTCCTTGGGTTTCGGAAGTAGATTGCCCCATCTTCCTTCCGAGGAGTGGGTGGTGGGTTTGAACTGCCAGCCTTCTGGTTAGCAGTTAAGTGCCTTAGGCACTACGCCACCAGAGCTCCCAGTATTACTGTAGGAGATCAGTATTTTTTCCCCTTAACTGCATTATTTCAGGTAATTTATATGATTGAAATAATTCTCCATGCAGTTCTTGAAGGAGACTTGAGTGCCAGGAATGGTAGTAAACATACATACAGACTAAGTGCCAGGAATGGTAGTAAACATACATAAAGAAGAAAGGATGCAGACCATGCCATTAGAAGGCTTGTAGACTTTGTTCTGTAACTGAAAGAGTGACTCTAATGAGGAGATAATTTTAGATGAGAAAAGGAGAGGTAGCTTAGTGCCTTAGCAAAACAGTGGAAGAGTTATTTTTTGACAGGCAGAGTCACACAATGCCCTTTAAAGAACTAACTCATTGACCAGACATTGAATTTCTAGCAATGCTAGCCATTAGGTTAGGCACTAGGAATTCAAAAATAAATAAGCCTGTGTTCTCCAAGTGCTTACTGTTTATCAAGGGAGACAGACACAGGAACAGTTAGCATAGTGTGATATAATAGAAGCCTCATAGAAGTACATTAAGAATACAAGTGTCAGCTGAGTGATGTTTGAGCTGGGCTGGATGTTTGTGTTAGATCCTAAAGTAGGTGTGCACTGGCTAAAGAAGATGGTGAAGAATGTTCCTTGTGAATGGAAAAGCATCATCATCAACAACAACAACAACAAAGAAGAGGCATAACAGTCCATGGCTTGGCGGTGGAGGTGGGATGGCAAATTTGGAAAAAGATGCAATAGTCCAGGAGATTTGAAGTCAGAAGTTGGGAAGAGAGAAAATAGAGTATCTGAAAGTGAAGATAGAGAGGTAAAATGGGATAGATGATAAAATATCCTTGATAATCCCTTCCAGGGAACATGCCATTAATCCTACAGGTAGTAGGAAGCCTTTGAAGGCTTTTAATTTTAAGCAGGATAGAATTGTATTCATAGTTTATGCAGTGCAGTGGGTTTCTTTTTATATATGACATTTCTGGTTCTGGGTTTGTAGTTTAACCAAGATGATTTGCTAGGCCACAATCTCGCAAAGGGACTTGACAATTTACAATGCAAATCAAGTGTGTAAAACCCTCACAGGGATTGGAGAGTTTACTATGCAAATAAGGTTCATAAAGCCTCATAAGGATTGGATGGTTATTATGCAAATTAGGTGACTATGGCCTACTGAGGAGATTTACCAGTTTGTGGTCTTGGAGGGAGGACTAGGTTAATAAAAGAACTACTTTCTCAGGGGTTGATGAATCTTCACTTTCATTAAGGGGTGTGCTTCCTTTGAACTCGGAGTCTCCGCGCTGATAACCTCCTAGACCCAGGATACAGAGAGAACCATGATACTGAAGAGCAGAGTGCTTCCTTTGGACCAGGAGTCCCTGCACTGATAACCTACTAGACTCAGGACACAGAGATGGCTGTAATACTGAAGACGGTACAAGACTGCAAGAGACAGTGTGGCAGTGGCCTGAGCAGCAGCAGCACAAAACAGCAGAACCAGGAGACTGGTGAAAGGTGGCTGCAATGGACTTCCTAAGTCCATGGAGTGAGTTGTATGCAGTGGGCACCCTGACCCACAGAGTACAAGGGCTGAGTGCCTTCAGACAGGAGGCTTGTTAGCAGAGTGAGGTACCTCTGGGTACTTGTTGGAGCTGCAGCATTTGCCTGAGCAGGACAGGGGCCAGACCTCAATGGGGCCAGTGGCAGTAGGACTGAGAAGGGTCCTATGGCAGAGGCCGAGAGCAAGACCTGCTTATGGGCATGGCCAAGAAGAAGCTGAGCGCTATCTTGGTTGGAAGTTGTCTTGATTAAAGAACTACATACCCTGAATTGTATCCTGTTACTTCCTTAATAAATCTATAAATGTAAGTATGGTCTGAGTTCTGTGTGGCCATTGCAATGAGTTTCAAACCCAGCAGACAAGTAGAGAGTATTATGGGAGGAAAGCTGATGTCAGAATTAGTAAAAAGTTTGGAGAGTGGAGGTATTCCTGACTTCTACCTCATAGGAATCACCTTTGGGACACTGCTGATTCCTTTTCTTCCCCTTGAACTTAGAGGATTTCTGATGCTACTATATTATAATTTCAGTTATACCTGTAAGCTGTAAAGGCAACAGGCCAATAATTAGAGATTAATTACTAAAATGTCTCCCATTTAGTTCCAAATTG